CCCCCCCCCCCACAATTCCGGCATCATTATGGTGGAAAAAACGTACCGGTCGCTACCAGAAACCATCCAACCCTGTCCGGGAATGAATAGGGTGGCACCATCCACATACTATATTTGGGTGGTTATGTTGGGTAATAAATATGTAACGTTTTGAAGACTGACTTGTTGATAAGATAGATTAATTTCGGCTTTTATTACCCTTATGGACATTATGTATTCTTTTGTGCGCAACCTGAACTACCGTCGTGTGTGTGTGTGTGTGTGCACACGTATATACACATATATCACACTCTTTCCTGCGCAAATACCATCTTGTTTTAGAGTATCACGTTTGGATTAGCCCATTCGATTGTTCAAAGGCACCAAGTGATGACTATTGATCGTGTAGCTCAGGAGTAAGGGTTCGAGTCCTGATCCGAGGGACACAAAACAAGTATGCACTGCTGACGAGTTTCAAAAACAGGACGAAACAGCTGTCCAGTGCTCTTTGTGTGTCGATCATCATACAAATATTTCCCTTCCGTAGTTAAATGCTGTCATTTTTGTCCATCAATTTATCCCATTGCACCTTTCATGTTTCCATTTCCATTCCAGGTAGCGCATTCGCCTCGGTCAGTGTGGAGCCCGGATGCAATCTGTTGGCTAGCGGACATGAAGATTCAAGCATCTCGTTATTTGATCTGCGTGGTGCACGTTACATCAACGCGTATCGACCACACACAAGTGAGGTACGCAGTGTCCGCTTCTCACCGACTGCCTACTATCTGCTGTCGGCCAGCTACGATCGTCGTGTCATGCTGTCCGACTTTCATGGTAAGTGTGCTGTTCTTCTCTCGATGTCTACCCAGTTGAAGAACATAGTATTGTATTTCACGCCTCTCCAGATCCAAACTGGGTGCCGAGAAAATTACGTTACAGTTGACTTTAGAACGAAAAAAGTAATCTGTCATATGCTCGCGGGCTACTATGTTACCCTAGTCAATGCTTTTATTATCATATATTTTCACACACGCTTGACTTCAAACTGTGTGCCACACAAATCATGGTACAATAATCTTTATAAAAAGAAAAACGTTTCATTCATGGGGACTGAATACTGCCAGATTGCCTAGGCCGAAATAGGTGAATTTCCTTAGGGTGTTCACAATCGGAGCCTTCGGTTATCCAAAGCCTGATCCACAAGGCAGCGGGGCAGTGTGTGAAAACCGCAATCCATCGGGGGCCGTTGTCCAGTCCTCATCGGATTATACGCCCTTTGGACGGGGTCAGACGTCCAAGGTGCCCATTGGTGCCAGGGTCCACTATCACGACCGGAAAATTCTGGATGAGTGTGGTTCGTACGCCCCTTCCTAGTTGGTTTGCAGTCAGGGTTTTTAGCCAACTCCTCCCTCTGGTGAAATTCCAGCGCATGGAAATTTTCTTCACAGATCCACAACTGAAATCGTCGGCTAACCCAAGTCCAACTTCAAAGATGGTGAAAGTATGTGTGATTGGGGCGGTGTTAAGTTCATCGGATTTCATGCCATTTGGATGAGATCACCAATACCCCACATGGCTTATTCACCTCGTTACGCAATCGAGCTGCTAACCATGGGGAGAACTGGAAAGTTGTGCATGTGGTTTAAATACCTGAGTTACGATCTATTTGTTTATTTTTTATTCTGTGCTCCTTGGACAAACTTATTCGAGTTCTGACGGGGACCCGATATCACTTGTGGTGTTCATGTATTTTCATGTGTTTTCAAATTGTTTGGAATTTTTGTTTTTGGTCCACATGTGAAATCTGTTTGGTTCACAACCCTAAGGGTCGAGTGTGTGTGTGTGTGTTGCAGCAGTGTTCGACTAATCCCGCTCTGCGGAAACAGGATAAAAATAGATTATCTGTCAATTCAATTCAGTAGTAGCTTTATGCACCCAGGATGGATGAATTTTCAGCATTTACATCATATTTGTGGATCCAGATTTACACAATCATTACATAATGAAACTGAAAGCAGTAGATATTGTGTTTGTCAATAAAGCACGCAATTGCGCAATTCTCTGGAAATTTTCTCTTTGTCAATAAGTTGACGTGTTAGATATGGCAGAACAGAATTACGATGAGCAAAGGTACGTGCAAATAAAAGTTTAAATCTTGAGCGTGTAGATGATGTAGATACAGC